ATATATATATATATATATATATATATATATAAACGTTTACTAGGCCGAAGGTCATGACCTTTATCATAGTTACAAGACCTCTTAACATTTAGAATTTCCGAGTGATTACAATGATGTTCGACAGGTGCACCTCGTGAATTCGTATGCATATTTCTAGTTAGGTAATATGTAAGATAGTACCGCTGATTTTAGCAGGGAATTGTAACCAGCATCAAAATATACTGTTTGTGTGTCTGTTTGCAAATTTTATTTAATTGATATCTAATAAATCTGTGGAGTTCTGATGTAATCATTGATCTCATTTGCGACCATGGTAATTTGCATATTTAGTGCCCAGGAGGCATAATTTAACATACATTTACATAATTACTTACTCTCAATCATTGGAAGAAATTTGAAAACTAAAGAACTGAATCGGGAAAGAGAAATGGGGCGGCCGTAAAAACATAGTTGGCTTTGTAATCAAAACTTCCAACGTTAAAATTATTCAAGAAAAGTCGTTCTCTCGCCTTTATGTGACAGAACACGTGGTCGTCTGACGAATAGATTTGAGACACAACTACTATGCGGGATATGCAAATTGACTTAGTCGTAGATATTTGACTTACCATAATCCCCGTGATAACTGCTACACCCCTGCCACAGTATGTATTCGGCACCATGTCGCCATACCCAATAGAAAGAAACGTTATTGAAATCATCCACATAGCGTTCAGCATCTCGCCATTGTGCGCATCATGGTAACTGAAAACATCAAATGAAGCCTGATTCATTAAGTGAAACTTCATACAAAAAAAAAACACACGTTTGGAAAACCCTTTTCTGTAAGAAATTATAGAATTCACGACACGTATACACAAATACTGCCTCGTCCTTTAAGGGGAATAAATATGTGAAAATGGAAACATGTTTGAATTAGTACAAATACGCGTGGGCCAATGTTTGTTTCCGATCGCATTAAAGGTATTTTCAAATGAAACGCTTATTTACTATATGGACGGGGAAGGGCATTATTTGACTGGTGCACATTGTTAGTTCTTCTGACATTACAATGTCACAGTTTCAAGCCCTATGGATTCTGTCTCATTGGTTTCCGACAATTCACACAGCAGGAATAAAACGAGCATTATTTAATATTGTAAATAACAGTAACATGATGTACAAAACAACTCGGAGAATAAATTCGTAATGGATAAACTACATAACGAGTTGTGTGCTTGTTCTTGACAAGCGCGCATGGATGTGTATGGTATGCAGCGAATTCAAGTTAGCTAGTATTCCTACTGTGGTATGCACACAATTAATGGATTAATAGGTCTAAAAATAGGCGACGAAACCGATGCCACCGTCAGCTGGAAAGACGATTTACCAAAACATGTCAAAAACCATTTAACATTTGAGCTCAACCAAATATGTTTGGTTCTGTAAATAAGGGACAATGCATGGCTAGAACATCAATAAAATTAATGACCGTATTTGTAAAATCGTTAGTCTGTCCCACAGAACACATTAATTTTCATAACATTGTGCACCTGGAATTCTTAATCATGGTTAAACTATCGTTATGATCAGAACCTCTGAGCGCCGACAGCTCATGGGGAATGCGTTTGAATGTCACAATTCCACTAGTGGAAAATGTCTCAACTGATCGAAGCAAGGTTGAACGTTTTTTTCTTTTAGTTTTCAGGAAATGTGAGCTATATTGTGATTTACTTTCTGATTTTCGTGAGTACCGCCCTGTCGTATTTATTCAACAGTAAAGCCGCGTTAGTAAAGTCGGCCAAATTCGTATTTTGTTCAAAGAACGTTTTTCCCGAGGTTGGGATAAGTGGCGAGCACAATTTTGCTAACCAAAACAGAGATAAGGAATCCTAGTCGTAAACAATGAGAACCGTTTTCTCTAGAAACAGATTAAGGGTTGTCCAATTGAATTCAAGTGGAATATTTTCACAATATGTATCCAGAAGTGTTTTTTTTTTAATATGGCGATATACATGTTTTAATACCATGTTTTAATGAACCCACTGACTTGTACACATATATATCAATTAGTAGCAGAATCCTACCCACCCCTTTCAGTTCGAAGAGTGGATCCTTATCTATTTTAGGAACATTATTGCTTAACATTCGACATCTGATTTGAAAGGCCCAATTTCGACGACTTGCACAATTGCACCTATTCCCGTTTTCCCGCGACAAAATTATTTGGTCTATTGTAAGAATTCTGATTACGACATTCAGGGACTGAAACCCACGTGATAGTAATCGATGCTTTGTGAAATGTGCAACGGGCTCGTTATACAAATGTATTCAAGAAGAGGAGTAATTTCACGGTATGAGACACAATCGACTTTACGACAGCGTAAATATGTGAACACTGGTTACAAATCCTAGATTACCAAGTAACTGTGTAGGCTCACCGTGATAAGACACCTCACGGGCAACACGTAAATGATGACAAACTGCATCAAGTACACCGTTCTATATCTGAACTAATGTCAGGCAATATAAGAACACAGTTGCATGTTTTTTTTAATGATAATATCCGAAAGTTTCGAAATTCGATATGTGTATTAATAATTATTTTGCATGGTTCTGTGTAATATACGATGATTGTAATAGTATTATAAGTTACGAGAAACCCCAGCTATCGAGGGATTTCGTGACGAGTCGAATGTCGATCCTATTTCACTGTTTCTTTCTATTATAATAGCATCGGGAGAACTGGACATGAATAATTCAGTAGAAGATATGAATAATTCTGTAGAAGATATGAATAATTCAGTAGTTGGATATTCGATGTTGCTCTCAATGCCAGCGCACCAACCAGCAGAGTTGTGCCATTTTTCAGACCGGGTTCTGGTGCAAGTCAGAGGCGCACAGCCTCGCAGTGGCCGTTGCGATGTGCAGTATGGAGAGTTGCAGTACCATCGCAATGTGTCCCCTGGCATAGCGTACATGTGTTACGTAACTCATTTTGTATATAGGGATCGATGATCAGACCGAAAAAAATTATCGATCAGTCGGAAAAGGTGTGGTGTTATAGTAGGATATCTTATAAACGTATTGTAAACGTACTTGCCACACAGAGCTGAATCGATAAATTCGAACACTCAGCAAAGGTGTGGTGTTATAGTAGGATATATTATAAACGTATTGTAAACGTACTTGCCACACAGAACTGAATCGATAAATTCGAACACGCAGCAAAGATACTAAAACCAAAAAGTCTAATCCGATCGTAAATTGTCAACCCATGGAATGGCTTCGCCGTATACGGACACCCGTCAATTTGGAATGAAGATTGACAAACACAAGAATGTACGAAATACATATACGGAACGTCCGTTTGCAATATACGCCTATGCGGGCTGTATTTAGCAGTATACGCATTTGAAATGACTATCCGATGCACAAACAAATGCTGTCAGACTGACTTCAGTACTGGCCGACTTCTCTCTGAAACTGAAAGTCTGATACCATATTCATATCATATGTACCCGATATCGAAGTGGGCCACATGTATTCAAACACAATTCAGTTGCTTAGCTTATTTGGTGAGTCGCCATGCAGCTCGTCGATCTGACGATCCAGGTTATTTGTGATCAAAAGAAAAAAATGCCCATAGATTAACGATATACGATTTTAGTATGTCATTTTAGTTTTAATATTTATGCTGCTTGTTCTAATTTATCGTTACAGCCTAGTGGCAAGTGTTTTTTGAATATGTTGTCCCCGGGTTCGAACTGGAATATGTGCAACTGTTCCTCTGTGCAAAACAAGTCACGTAACTCACATGCACCGTGACGTCACACACACACTGCGACAGGGTAGCCGCGAACTCCTCCTCATACGTCAACGAAAATTATCAGCCACTTTTGGAGCCTCGCGCCTCTGTCTTCTATCAGACCTCGACCCCAATCTTTACAGTTGCTAGTCATTCCCGTGAACAAACGAATATGGAGTAGATAACTGCCGATTGGCACGTATTCCCGAAACATAAACAGCCGCCTGAATAGTAAACGTTTCAGTCGAAACAATTTCTGTATGTAATTTATGGATACTCTACCAAGTATACGTTATAATCGTGGGTGTTTAAGTAAGAACAAATGCAAAGACGTGAAAACAAACAAAACGCAAATAATGCGGCGACATTGCATGATCAAACGGTCAAACAACGAAATATCCAGTACAGTCGCCATGGAAACGTGACGAGCCACGAAAACGATTTTCAACTAGACACCGCACAAAATCATGTAATTTTGCTTAAATCGCTGAAACGATCATGAAAACAACTGCCAGGAAAGGACACTCTTAAAATTCGTGTATTACTAGTACTAGTATTGTGTTCTCTGAAATTCACACATAAGCACTGTATAGGTAATAAACAACGTGGTTAGTTCAACGCCCCCATGCTTCACGTAAACCGTGGAGTACTTTGGAAAGTAACAAATATAACATACACATTCTGAATACATTTTAACAACAGTGGCGGCATTCCGATATTGACAAAACCAGTACGGCATTACGATCAGTCACCCACATACTGTTATTACCTCGCGCCCTTTCTGATTGATTAATTTATATACATGATATGCAGCGATAACGACTATTTGCATCGGAGAGTCCAGTCCCCGTTCAGTGTATACGCAATATCTAGTCGAGGCACCGCAAAACACTACGGCGACAACAAAACTAGAACATTTCATTAATGGTGGTGTCACTGCCGTGTGTTAACAAGGTGACACATACAAATGAGTCTTGTTAACCGACAATGCACAAGTTAATATCGGAAAAGACACGAGTTATTGAAACACCTACTGAATGTCGGTATGAAATAAAAGCTCGTCAACATCCCAAGGGACACTCGGGGTATATCTAAGGTGTTTACCGTGCACAGCGTTCGTTGCTACTTTAATCTGTGCAGCGAGCGACAGAAGAGAAAGCGAGAACAAGGAGAATGTAGGTTGTTATAACTCCGATGTTTCAGATGCAAACTGAGAAAAACAAAAAAACAGTCAGTCTATCCAGATAACCAGAATACTCATTAAGAAAATGAAGTTATCAAAATTAGTGAAATAATCTGATATCGGAATGAATCAAATCAATCTGGCAGTGGTCCATTTAAAATATCAAAACAATCGGGCTGACGTTTACCAAAAATATTCATTTAAATTAAGTAAAATTAATGTCATGAAATGAACTAATCGGTGAGCGGTTCACCCCAAAAGACTACATATAACATGTTGAAGGAATGGGCAACCGTTTTCACGAACATATTGAAATAAACACTTTTTTTTACCAAAAATGACAACAATTTTGACTATTGGTTCGTGAATTGAAGGTATCAAAATGACAAAAAATATTCACTGAAATTAGAGATTTGACGGCATCTTCACAAGATACATTTGTAGCAAATATGAAACCCATATAGGTTTTTAAGAAGTTGAAATCGTAATATACGACGACGGAAAACGATGTAAATAGCTTTGCTCAATTTTGTCGACAGCGAGAGCTGCAAAATAAAGTTTCATGATATGATCTGAATGTACGATGAAAATATGTTTTAAAAGAACACATACGGAGCATAACTAATTAATTTCCATTATTTTTATCTCAAAACTTTGATTTTAATTTTATAAAATATTTTATATTTATTAACACTGGGTGGACGTGGGTCGATCATGGCTGGTATCTGGGATACTTTGATAAGTTAACATGAACCTCCCGATCAGGGAATATTA